CTGAATCGGGCGTGTAGGGCTGGACAATCGTATCCTAAGAGATCGACGGGCGGTGAAGAGCTAACCGGTCAACGAGATTTAGGAAATGTACAGAGAGCTGAGCGTGATTGTAACGAAGATGAAAATTTTGAGAAAATGAATACCAAGGAGTTGAAGGAGCGCTTCGCTAGTTTGGGTTTAGAAACGACGGGAAGAAAAGTAGAATTACGCGCACGGCTACAAGCGGCCATGGATGGTAATGACACATCGTCGGAAGAAGAAAGCGACGACGAAAGTGAGGATGAAGATGAAAAAAAATGCAAGAGGATACAAGAGAGGTACGCGAAGGGTGTATCAGGACCGTGATGAATATTGTCGAAGGGCATGTGTTGGTTCGACACTGAGTTTTAGAGACGTCGATGATGCATTAGAGTCGTTTAGTGGCAACAAAGGTGAAAATGTCGAACGATGGTTCGAGTCGTTCGAGGAAGTCGCTGATACGTGCATGTGGTCGGATGGACAGAAGGCAGTCTACGCGAGGAAGCTGCTGAAGGGATCAGCGACGCGCACTACGACTGGTAGTCGGCGCCATGCTGTGAACGGGGTAAGTACTGTCATGCGAAATATCTAAGGTAGTGCGCATGTATTGGTCTGGAGTGCCGCGCAGGGTATTTTGTTCGCGCTATATTGGCTAGACATTGCCAACTTACGGACCGCGTGGTTGCTGACTAAGGTAGAGGCGGCTCGAAGTAAGTTCCTAATGTTAGGTAAATTAGGTTGTATAATTTAATAATTAATTTCGTTTAATGTAATGTTGGTGGGTTGTGGTAAATATAATATAGCGGATTTACGAATGTGTCTGACGAGCCGAACGTACAAATCAAACGAAAATTTGAGTATTATTTAGATTAAAGGAGGTATATTTGACAGAAGGATATACGAATGGGATTCGAGAGATTATTAATGTATTCACACATTTCTGCACACATTTATATAACTGCGATTTGTTCATAAAGTAATTTGATGATTTTTGGGGTACGTGAAGGATGGTTATTTAGTTCATATAGTGATACTATATGGGTTGATGGCTTATTTATTGTGACGTTGGCTTTGCTTGTGGATTATGATTGGTACTCTTTTGGAAGGAGATGGCATAATGGTACGAAGAATTTGGCTATGCTCTTGCACGATGCGCCTTATTTAAACATAAATATGGATAAGTACATTACAGAGAAAAGAATTACGGCGCAGGGGGTTTCGGAGCCCCCAGGTCCCGTCGGTGCTTCGAGTGGCGTACCAGGTTCGACCCGACGGTCATCTAGCGACTGGACAAACGAGGGGAGGAGGGTCGGTGCCAGGACCATCTCTCGCTCAGATAAAGTGACCGGGGATCAATCATATTCGGTGAGCGACGTAATCGCTCCACCAAACGTAATGTAGAAGCGAGCGTTTCACCGGTTAGAGCCGAGGTGGGGGGTGGCTCGACTGCGTCATCAGACAAGAAGAACCCAACTAGGGCGAAGAACCCCTTTAAACCTAGGTGGAACTTGGAGAGGAGCCCGGTGGACGAGAGAAATGAGGGGCGAGAGAGCAAGATGAACCTCGACATGTCGGCAGAATCATTTGATGGCGGGCGGCCAATTTCATTTTTGTATGCCACCACAAAGGGATGATGCAATTTTTAAATTGAGGGCTCAGTATAAGTGGAGATCCTGGCGGGAGAATAAGGAAGAAGATTTAGAAGATCTATGTTCTACTAAGCTAAAAGACGATAGAGCGTTGGTAATGCTGGAGGGAAGGGAAGCAGCGACGCTAGTTTCGTTTGTGGCAAGCAAATTGAAGAAGAATATTAGTCGAGATGCACCTTGTGCGTGAAGCACAACGGAGTTAATGTCAGGCACATCACAGATATTTTGGCGTGTCCAGTTATAAGGATGAATAATAGGGACAGTAGACCGGGTAGAAGATCGACGGTCATTAAATTTGGTGAAAGGAACCGGGAGTACTCCGTCCAAGAATGATAGCATGGGGAAATGTGATTGCGAGGAGCAATCATTGATGAGAATGTGGGAACCTGTGACCGTCGGTGCAGGCGGTACACATACAAAATGGGTGCCGAGACGGTACAGGAATAATCGGCTGAAGAGCCAACCTGCTGGGACCGAGCTATATGCTGACAGCTCCGCCTCTTCGTGGTTCCCGCTGGTAACGCCGAGGCGCAACGCATGCATCGCGTGGCGCCGGCTGAGCGAGCTGCCGCCCGAAAGGGTAGGGATTCAACTTGTCCAATGACCTGCAAGGAGAGGGCAGCCGTTCTATGATCTATGCGCGCTGTTCCCAGGCCAGGGGGGCGCTGGAATGTAGACGAGAGTCGAACGCGAAAATCTAAATGCGAAGCCAGTATGAGTTTTTACTTCAGGTATGGCGCGGTGGACCAAAAGGTCGGGCCCTCAAACGCACACATTACTTGATGAGAATGTGGGAGTATAGCTATAGAAGGAGCTGATGCGTCGACTGGGGTCTCGCTGAAGTATGCTTATTTAGCGGTGCCGGAGAGAATCTCCGCTCTACGAAGGTTTGGGAAGAGGAGGGGTTTTTAGTGGGTATGGCGGTACTATCTGCCGAGTTCCACATAACCCAGTGACGCGGGACACTGGGTATGCGTAATGCATATACCCCTCCTTGCGCAAAAAAGGAAAAAGAATGTATCTTGGAGTGCAATAGTACAGTAATAGAAAATTCTCATTACATCTAGAAAAGGCCTGTGGCATGGTTTGTACCCTAATAGCTGCGATTAGGACATTGTTGCCGAACCTCAATGGGCCCACCGACTCAGTTAGAAAACTCTATTGCGGAGTGTGGGAGTTGGTGGTGCTTTATGCTACACCGGTATGAGTCAAAGCCTTAGTAATACAGAGAAACAAGAACATTCCGAAGATGTTGTTAATGATCGAAGAAAATATGGAGGGTAGAGTAGCTCTATTACAAAGAAAATAATTGGACCAGAAAGCCTGCACTTTTAAGAATAATAAAAGGATCATCGATCACTATATCATGCAGATCTTGAGTGGACATGGAACATTCAATGAATATAGGAGAACGATTAGGAAAGAGACACACTCAAGGTGCTGGGATTGTGTTGCCGAAGGTGATGATGCAGAGCATACGTTGTTAAGTTGCCCTAGATGGATCAATGAAAGGACATTGTTGGAAAATTACGTAGGCGAAATACTGACAATCAACAACGTAATCGACCTGGTTGTCAGTAGCGAGGAGAACTGGGTTAGATTCCAAGGGATTTGCCGAAAGATAATGATAGCTAGACAAGATCAGGAGAGGAACATGAAGAAAAGAAAGAGAAGATAGACTGAAAGGAGATCATAATAAGATGAGAGGTACATTCAGTAAGAAGACCGACTTTGAAGTAATGTCGAGAGGTGGTTCGAGGGTCGGTTCTTGTACCGATAGAGGAGAGAGACAGAAGAGGGGTTTTTTAGTGGATAAAGGCCGAGCTCCATATTATCTTGCCGAGCCCCATATAATCCAGGAGCGCGCTAGCGTACCTGGGTATGCGTAATTGCATTTTCCCCTCCTCTCGAAACAAAAAAATAGGTGTAAAATAGAAATGATTATGGATATAGCCGAGTTCCACATAACCCAGTGACGCGGGACACTGGGTATGCGTAATGCATATACCCCTCCTTGCGCAAAAAAGGAAAAAGAATGTATCTTGGAGTGCAATAGTACAGTAATAGAAAATTCTCATTACATCTAGAAAAGGCCTGTGGCATGGTTTGTACCCTAATAGCTGCGATTAGGACATTGTTGCCGAACCTCAATGGGCCCACCGACTCAGTTAGAAAACTCTATTGCGGAGTGTGGGAGTTGGTGGTGCTTTATGCTACACCGGTATGAGTCAAAGCCTTAGTAATACAGAGAAACAAGAACATTCCGAAGATGTTGTTAATGATCGAAGAAAATATGGAGGGTAGAGTAGCTCTATTACAAAGAAAATAATTGGACCAGAAAGCCTGCACTTTTAAGAATAATAAAAGGATCATCGATCACTATATCATGCAGATCTTGAGTGGACATGGAACATTCAATGAATATAGGAGAACGATTAGGAAAGAGACACACTCAAGGTGCTGGGATTGTGTTGCCGAAGGTGATGATGCAGAGCATACGTTGTTAAGTTGCCCTAGATGGATCAATGAAAGGACATTGTTGGAAAATTACGTAGGCGAAATACTGACAATCAACAACGTAATCGACCTGGTTGTCAGTAGCGAGGAGAACTGGGTTAGATTCCAAGGGATTTGCCGAAAGATAATGATAGCTAGACAAGATCAGGAGAGGAACATGAAGAAAAGAAAGAGAAGATAGACTGAAAGGAGATCATAATAAGATGAGAGGTACATTCAGTAAGAAGACCGACTTTGAAGTAATGTCGAGAGGTGGTTCGAGGGTCGGTTCTTGTACCGATAGAGGAGAGAGACAGAAGAGGGGTTTTTTAGTGGATAAAGGCCGAGCTCCATATTATCTTGCCGAGCCCCATATAATCCAGGAGCGCGCTAGCGTACCTGGGTATGCGTAATTGCATTTTCCCCTCCTCTCGAAACAAAAAAATAGGTGTAAAATAGAAATGATTATGGATATAAATTTTTAAATTACTATCTGTCAATAAATATCCACAATTAGTAAATTTAGGTTTAAGATTATGTTATATTTGGGTTAATATATAAATGCGAATGCTCTTTTACTATGAAATGCATAAAATTAAAGTAGGTATCAATTGGCGCTAACAGATGACACGTTATCTTGCGTGCTAAGGATAGTAAATAACAAAATTTCAGTTGATATAATAACCGTCACTTGTTGATGAAATGTCGCGGTCACGATGTTTGGATAAGGATTTCTGTATGGATATAAGGATATGGATTTCTGTAAGGATATGCATTTCTGTTTGTTTTAAAATAAAAACAATAGATTATAATAAGCCTACGATTATAAATTGTAACGTATCCCTATTTAATTATAGTGATATGACTTGGTATTTAGCTTTAGCTTAACCGTCTAAAGTTGTACCCGGAAGACAAACGCAGTAGTAGCTTATGAAGCTATCAAGTCGGGAGAGGTAGGAAAAGCATCAAAATCCGTGATTTCTCGCTTCAGATAGCATATTGCCATTAATAGACATTACACTGAGCTCATTACGAAGTAAGTTCACATACTAACCCAACGTCATGTAAGAACTTTATTATCTTTTTCATGTTCAATGTCATCTCAATGTCATATAATCAACACAATTAAATGTATCTCAACACGGATGGTTATGAGCTTTTACTCGTTTCTTAGTAATAGTGATGAACTATTTGTAATGTGGATTTGTAATGTGGAATTTCGGACTACATGATTGAAATGATTTAAAAAATAGATATATTTGTAGTAGAAATTTCGCGAAAGCTAATTTTTGTGCTTCTGGAAGATTAGGGAAGGATACTATTCTTTGTTTGTATTCAAGTAATAATAACGAGAGAGTGAGTGAAGCTTATATCTTCAGGTAACATTAGTGATGTATGTCTGAAAAAAGCAAACGCGCGTAGAGTCTATGGTTTCATTTGAACGTTTATACCGATGCAGTTATCTCTTCCTGGCAGACGAATAATGTTTGTCTAACGTCATATTACGTTTTACTCTCTCTGAATAAAAATTGTTATGTTTACCGATTTTTCGGAAACAGCTTGATCAATCAGGATGACACTTTTTACTCATTATAAGACATAATTTCCCGTTGGTTCAGTTACAAAATATTTTTCCATTTGTTTTTTGTAAACTATTTTTTTTGCACAAATCCAATTTTTATGTATAAAAATTCATCAGTAGATGAAACCTTTTGCATCTTGTAAGGGTAGTTCATTGACTGGTTCCGTTTGCAAAATGTCTCCAATTTGTTCATTGTTAACTATTATTATTGCAAAGAATTCGTTATTTATCAATTTCATTTACGTCTGCTCAGTGATTGTTCTACAATTGTTGGACTGATAACGAGATGATTCTAAAATAACAGCCTGGGCAAGTAGTTTGAAATTGCGTTTTTCAATCTAGGTTTCAACTCGTATTTCCGTTGTAGGAAACAACATTAGCTGATTATTATTGTTGCTGTCGTATAAGCGAAATTTCTTGATATAGATGCGTACATCGTATTTTGTTCCTAATATTTTGGAGATGTACGGTTAGAATAAAATTGTTTTTCACTTGTTTATATTAATTTTACTGTCCATAAGTAGCCATGCATTTTGTTGAATATTTGTTGTAGATGGCTTTCGGATTTTAATGCTTTATTGTCTCTCGCGTATATTAGTAGGTCATTTGCGAATGCTATCGCTTCTTTATTTTTATCGCTATTTGAACCGCATATCGCTTATGTATAAACTGAACAAAATAGGGGAGTTCACGGCTTCTTGTTATAGGTCGTCTTTGATTTTAAATACTTTGCTTGAACTGTTCTGGCTGTTACGTAAAATTGTTTGTTACGTAATACGTTCTAAATTATTTTTATTATGTGGTGAAATTTCTTTCTGTGAGATTAAAGAAAAGTCCATCCAGCCAGAATGTGTTGAATGCCCCCTCTAAATCTATGAACACCACTCGTATGCCATCGCTCGCGTTTCTTGTCCAACAGATATTTGGTGTGAATTTTGGAATTGCGTGGATTGTTGAATGTTTGAATTTAAAGATAGATTGAATGTGTAGATTCGACTATTTTACTAATATTGGACAAAAGATGGCTGATAGGATTATTGCTGCCTTTTCTTCTTAATGCTACTACTTTGGTTGTTTTACAAATGTAGGTAATTATTGAATATTATGCTGTAGTCGTAGATTATAAAGGTAGCAGATTTTTTAAGACTAGTAGGGATATTGTCAAGACTTGATGATATTTTATTGTAAAGTTTTTTGAAGGTTGACTTTAGCTCATTGTAATTTGTGAAAAGGTTCGATGGGATTAAATCTGTGTCTCGGTTGGCAGCTATGTTTATGTTGCTGAATGTGCATATATTTTTGTTGTTACTGTTGAAGTGGTCACCACTTATAAGAAAACCCTACATCTGGTCTTTTTAGTTTTTTCAAGCACTGAAGTCATCGACACCGTATAGACAAAAGACTGGGACGAAGGCAGACCATTAACAGTAGACAGGCGACGTTGGCTTCGGGGTTTTCAGTTATAGAGCAACACTGGTAGTGTAACGTAAAATAACATAAAAAAACAAATTTAAGATGGAAAATAAAAGAAGAACTTTATTTTTTTTTCTAATACCTGGTTTACAATTTGCTTACGAACTCTAAGCGTGACTTTTCAAGACTGACTCTTACAACTCGACTTCCGATCGGATTCAGTTATTTTTATTTTGTCACCTCTCAATATCCCCACTGTCGTCGAGTTTGTTAGGCATTTGCGACTGTTGCCACGCCTTCTTCTCGAACATTCGGCGGAAGCACCGTTGGGATAATGATGGTTCATTAGGCACTTCGCTCCGGCGATATATATTGTTGCCGAGTGCCGCCGCATCTTTATCTCCGGTTTTGAATTGAGCCGGTCGTGACACTAGCGCGCGGATCTGGATCAGCTCAAATTATATTTCTACTTGTACTTACAATTCTGTATTAAAATATATTTTCTACCTTACAATTTATCCACGCGTTTCTCTGTTGATACACCTGTGGAGGTGTAACATCAGTTCACATCAGAGACCAGACTACACACCGCGGGCAGCATGGCGCCCAGATGTCTGCACATCCTTGGCGCGTACCCTCAATAGTCCTAAGTACCCACCGGGGGTTTTGGAATTTTCATAGTTAAGGTCCTTCAGACCAAGCGAGTATCTCTTGTCTTAGGTTTCCTTTTACGTGTATTGTTTACTACGGTTTAACACGGAAAGTTAGTTTTTCCTCACGTCTGGTATGTTCCGTTAGCAACTTTCTCACGAGGGCGGCTAAAACCCTTCCTGGTCCACCAACCGTCTTATTATCCAATCGGAGACGGTGTCTACTGCCCTAACTTCCTTAACCAAAATTATCATCAACAAATCCGATAGTCCCGTGTCCTTAGACACACCCACCCCAAGCTTTCCTCAGACACAGTATCGCCAATAAACTTCACTTATTCTGTATCCTTAGAAGAGTCAACATATCTTTACCGATCTCTACCCTTATAACAGTCGCGTACTTAACGTATCATTGTAACTGTTTTACATAACGTGGTTGGAGTTAATTGTGATTTATGTTAATTTAGTGTGTATTCCAGTTTGATTGCTGAATTTGTAATAAAGTATAATTAAAACAAAATTAATAGTTGTGTTACGACTCAGCTATTTTATTTCATCAACCAACCCTTAAGTTTACGTGACAGAGGATTAGTCATTGTTAGGTTGAGCGAAATAACGAGAGCGAAATATTGCTGTCGCAGTCCGTCAAATATATTTTGAATAAATAAATAAATAAATTATTTACAGACGAAGACAGACGAATGTGAGTCGTTGGTACAAATACAAGTTGCGGAATAAATACTCGATAAGTACTCGGAGAAACTATGTAGATCACTTCGGTATTCGTTTATACTCGTTGATGCTCTTCGATACTGTTGGAAAACTCTCTCGTCCGTGATCGCTTCCGTTTATTTATACTGATCGGGGGAGAATCGGAAAATTCGAATTCGTCTACGTTTGACGGTTGTATGTAGCGGCGACATTGTTTTGCCCGGAGTTTATTTGTTCTTACATTACTTTTGATTTGATTTGAATTGTCCTCTGACTCATGTGCCGGTACAGATCTAATAACCTCAACAGTTACGTTTGTCTGTCTATTTGTTGCTTTATTTTGTTCGTTGGTTCGTTCATATTTGCTAATTGTTTTTTCATGTTGCTATTTCGTGGATTGCTTTAAAATGTGCTGCCAGTATATTTAGTTTGTCACTTAATTGCCGATTTATATGACGTCAAGATTTATATTGGCTTTAAATATCTCTGAATTTCAGTTTGGTACTTTTAGGATGTCTATGTTACCGTGGTCTTTAGAACTGGTCTTCACTGTGTGTCTTCGTGGTCTTTACTGTCAGTTGGTGGGGAAAGTTCCTCGATGCTATTTAAAAGTTGTATACTGTTATTAGACGTTTTGTATCTTTATCTGTAAGACGCTGATTTCGAACGTCATTTCAGTGTCATTTGAGTGTACGACTTTGTGTTTAGTATCATTCTGTATTAGAATTCCAGTTTCGCCAACTTGTTTAGCATTTGATCTATCGTTCCTCATGAATGTGTAGTTCTTGAAGATAATTACGCGTCTTGTATTTAATTTAGTTTCGCAAAGAAGGAGCACATCTGGGT